TTTATGTAGAGTAGCCTATAGAATCTAAGTTTATTTCTAAGTATAAACAGATATTCTTATCTCTCCCCCGTCCCCAGAGTGTGGAAGAACAGCAGGAGGAAGGTCCATCAACTTCTGGTACACAGATAAACACAGTTCAGTGATTTTCAGTGAATGCCACAGTTTAATTCTGTAGAATGTGTTTAGAACTACATGATGTAACTCTAATCTACTGTATTTTCAGTTGCCAGTTAAGAAGTTATATAGACTTCATCTTATTAAAAAAATTGGAGAAAAAAAAAAAACAGCAATGAATAAATGTACCGAAAGAATGAATGAGGTGTTTAAACACCGCTTCCTCTTTAAAAAAGGGGAGGAGACCGAAATAAACTCTGGGTTTACGGAAGTAAACCTGCTCCCGACCAGGTTAGGTTCACAGAGTAAGTTACCATGGCAACTGACTCTGAGTATAAGTTACCTCTCTTTCAGAAACGGACTTGACTTACCCTGCTTTCTCAGGTTTGACTTACCTCCCATTCTGAAACAGAAAACCCAGAGTTTCCCTCATTTCAGGGTTAACATACTCAGAGTTTTCACTTAACCTCCTTTCTGAAACAGGCCCCTGGTCACATAAATGTGTTTTTGCAAAACGGATATAAATCCGATCTTCAATTCCCGCGCTATATGCAGATTTAATGGAGTGCACGTCACCGAAAGCAACAGATATGAGCTGCATTTTATTGATCAAAAGCTAATTTCAAAATCAAAGACCGCAATAAGAGAGAGCGGCAACAGCCCTGGTAAGATCATTTCGTTTCTTTACTTTTAATGAAGATGATTAGTGTGTTAAGCGTCTGCGACTTACTTTCACTTTGATTTGCGATAGTTTGCACGTTGGCTTGATGAATAGATGCTCAGCTGCTCATCTGCGGTAATGCGTGTTGCAGAAGCGACGTCATATCTGACTATAACATGACATATAGCCTATATAACACGCTCTCACACGTTTATTTTTTAGCATTTTTGTGAGGAGTGAAATTTACATATGTGGTTTCAACAACCAGATGCATACACTTGTCCAGTTTCATCTGGAATGCGGCCCAGACCACCTCCTGAAGTGGTTTGAGTGATCGGATTTAAATCCGTCTCATGCGTTTCAGAGGGCATTTACACCTGGTCTTTTCACGATCGGATAGCTATCCGATCACAGAAAACGCATGAAGTGGCCAGGTGTAAACAGCCCCTAGAGACTAGATGCCCTATTGGCCGCTGGAAACCGAGAAATCCGGCCGTCATCTTGAACCGGTCGTATTCCTAGTTTCGTTGCGTGGCAGCAGATAAGATGCCAGAGCATTTTGTAGCATTTTCCTGTTCTAATCGTCGGACCATCGAAAATAGGGCTTTTCACAAGTAAGTCTTAACATTACCGTACTATTGGTTGTATTTTGTGAATAGAATATTACCAGATAATCAAGAAGGAGCAAGGATATTTGCTATTACTGTACTGACATCGTTGTGAAATGCTGTTTACTGCATCAGCCGGTGTTCACCCGGCATGAAGAGGTGGGGTAACTGTTAAAGTAGTAATTACAAGAGCTTCTATGTTATCAGATGTAAGCATTCAACTGCCCTGTCGTATAGGGATCTCCCAGTCACGTGACCCCTAGCGTCAGCCATTTTGACGGAATACATCCGTCAGCTACTCAACGGCAATAGCAGTGGGTAATATATATTATTAGTATATTATTATACTAATGATATAATTATTTGTATATTATTATACTAATAATATAATTATTAGTATAATCATTTTATAATTAGCCTAAATATTGCAATACTTTGCGCTACAGTTGATATTGCGTGTATAATATGGTGTAGCCTAATAATATATTATTAGTATATTATTATACTAATAAAATAATTATTAATATAATTAGCCTAAATATTGCAATACGTATTTGCGTGCGCAAAATATCTCCATACTGAACAGAATCGATTTTTTCCCCCCACTATCTATTATTAGCGCAGCGGCCGTCAGACAACTCTTCACGTAATGTCATCGCACTTATTATTAGCATCACAAAAAGAAATATACAAGAGGAAGATAAAGGAATTAGGAATCGTAGATCCATGAAGCACCACAAGTTCTTTTTACAGGCATTAAATGTGTAGGAAAAACTTCCTGACATTGAGGTGATGGGAAATTCGGATCATTTTACTGACTCTCCTGTTCGAAGTCGTTCATCAAAATGAACGAATCTTTTTTCGAGTCATTTCGTTAATTCAAGTCAAGTGGCTTTAAACGTTACTTCTAACCGCCAAATTCCCCGAACACATATCCACCTATTATTTAGCGTGTAGCCTAATACGCACGCACTCCCCATCCCTAATCCTACCCAAGAGATTACAGTGCGTAGCATATGCACGCAAAAAAAAAAAAATTTTGGCGTATAAATAGCACGATAAATTAAATTCGTGGTATAGATACGCACGTTCATGAGATCGTGTTGGACAGACGCAATGAACGAATCGTTCATGAATGACAGCTACCTTATTCACTTACCATCACGCTACACCGGAGCTTCATTAAAAGCATACAAAAGCTATCGATATAACGAGTCCGTATGGGTCAGCAACTCTTTGATTTGGACGTCAGCGGGGAAGGATTTTTAAATCATCACCGCAAAGGTTGGTCAATGTATTTTTATCACCAAATTATAGTAACTTACCTGTAATATTTTTTAAACTGAGTTTACAGGGAAAAACACAAAACAAAATCACCAACAAGATTAAGTGTATCTTAAATGAATTTGTTGAATCTAGTTTGATCCAAGAAAAACGAAATAATACTTTTTTTATACTTGTAACGTTAACTAGGCTACCATGCAGTGACACTGTAGTATGATAAACTGTCATTGAGACTGTTGTCTCAACCTGTGTTTCTAACGATTTAAAGAAGTGTTAAATAAAATACAAGATCAGCTTTTGGTATTTGAAAATGATAGGAATATTTTGCGACGAGCTGTATTATCACCGGCGGTTTAGCATTGGCTGCTCCAAATGGCGTGACGACACGCGGGCATGTAACGAGACCTGGGGCATGTTCAAGATCACAACGGTGCGCAACGTTTTGCTACGGTTTCCAGGTTGAACGTCATGTTTCCTGGAAACGGCGTGCACCGGTGTGCAACGGGGTTTGAGATGCGTTTTCTCTTGTTTGGTGGGCGTGTCAGAACTGCAGTCCAATCAGCAGCAACATATATAAAGCACACGGTATTAAAGAGAACTCGCACAATGGAAGTAATTTACAAATGTGTTCGATACGCAACAACTAAGGATATCAGAAGACATGTTTGTCATAAGTATTATTGTAAAAATATAGGATATCAACAAAATGATGTAGTTGTTTATATTTTTAGCTTCATTGCAAGTGTGTGACATTTGGTATAGAAATAAACAATGCATGTAAAGTGCTTTTCCTAAAAATGAGAAATAAAATAATGTTTTATTAATACCCTGTAATACAGGGTATTAATAAAACATTATGAACAACAAGAATGTGAGGCTAAATAGATGTGTTTTAGTCTTTATTAGGTAAGATGTGCTTCCATTTCAGTTTCCACAAATCCCTTCACTCTGTTCTCTTGTGTTCTGGGCGGCAAGTGCAGTAACTGTAACATCGGGCATATTTTGTAGTATTAAACATATTTATACCGACTTCATCAGGCTCCGAAAATTCTTCACAAAGAACACAAAAAGCCTTCTCAGCTGCCGTAGTTGCAACTCTTGCGTCATCACAACAGTGCGTTCAACGCATCACCGTTTCTGTTTAAAAAACGTTCTGCAACGTTTTGTCGGCGCTGAACGCAGCCCAGCTATACGCACATGATATCAGGAAGCAATGTAAATACAAGCATTACAACGATGCGCAAATTGAGTTAGCCCTCCAACTTCTAGTTTTATTGATAACCTATATCTATCACATGCGATTTGGCTATTGATATTACAGAAGTCCTGTGGTAAAATTACATTATTAACTTACTCCATCTACCCTTGTAAAGTTAATCCGAATAGGGCTTTAGTCTCGACATTTTCCCCTCCCACATCCACATACAATAAAAAAGGTATAGGCTTAATGTTGTCCGAATTTAATTTTTTTTAAATTACTGATGCAAACACGTTGATAAGCTTCTTCTCAAGTTTTATTACAGGTGGCTGCGTTATGTGTGTGAAAGTGTGTGTGTGTGTGTGTGTGTGTGTGTATGTGTGTGTGTGTCTCTTCGTGTTTGTTTGTGTGTCTGTTCGTGTGTATGTTTGTGTCACAAATCATAAATTGTTTCTTCAACTTATTAAAATATCTTACTTTACTGCAACTATCTGTTTCTGCTTCTTTATTATATTTATAGTGTGTGATTTATAAAATACATTATATCCTTCATCACACATAGTGTCTGGTCACTTTATATCTTATATCAGAATATTATATTACTGTTAAGCCTACTATGGATATTAAAAAACGCCGAACCATGTGTCCTGTATCATAGCTACATGAATGGCCTTTGCAGTAAAAAAAAAAACCGCGTGAAAATCAGTTCAGTATTCAGTGAGATATGATTAATTTAAAGCTTATTTCACCTGCCATTCAGATTACACTGAGCGGGGCGGATGACCGGTTTAAGATGGCGGCTCCAATTCTCGTCCGTGCCAATAGGCAGTAGCGGTCGATAGGGCGTCTACCTATATGATGTCTATGGTTCTCCCCCATTGGTTAGCTGTTCGAAACGTCACAACACTACAAGGATTCTGGGTCCCACAGCAAAGTGAGGTCTGATGCGCACTTGCGAAAGGGGTGCATTAAGTGCCCTTATGATCACCCCTGGAGAACACTATTAGAGGATCGGGACACCCTACGGTCTTGCACCCCTTAGCGAGAACGCGCATTGAGGGGCACAAGGGCGCAAGTGCGGATATTGGGACAGGGCCTTTGAATCGACTTGGGATCGTGTTAAGGGATATTTTACAGAGATGATCCATAACACCTGGATTCGTTAATTTAAAGAATGCTCAAGGTTGCGTATCTGCTGTCATGCTTGACAGTTGTCAATGCAGGTAAGTTCATTTAATGCTTCCTATCCACCTTATTTTGAAACGCGGAAGTAGGCTACGCTATTTTCTATTATGTGTGTGAGAATAGTAAAACTATTTGGTAACGCTTTAGATTACAGCCCGGAAAGTAGGCCTACTGTGTAATTAAGAGGAATTTACAGAGTAACTTTCAGTAATTATAGTGTACCTATAAAGTACTTGCATGTAAGTAGCTATAAGGGAACAATATGTAAAGTTTGGGGAATAAAGGGGTAACAACCAGGAGAATTAAAAAAATATTTATACTGTAAGTATTATAGAAGTATTAACTTTTTGTAATAATTGTATACCAATACATACCGTATAGGCTTTTTTTAAATTACAGGGAACATATCTATGCATTTATACTTTTATTTATTTATTTTATGATAGTAAAAGTGCAGATGTTTAAGTTGGGCTAACATGTTTCAAGGCAAGAAAAGCTAAGACTATTGCAATTTTTTTAAATACTGGGAAATATATCTTGTTTCATGTGGTTACAGGGTAAGTGGTGCTTCTATAATAAATAAAGGTTTCCGAGTCAGTGATATAAGATTGTGTGTATACATTTTTATTGTTACCCTGTAACTACATGGAACAAGGGGGTAAAAAGCACCACTTTAATTTACAGCCCGCAATGTCCCACTTACCCTGTAACTACATCGAACAAGGGGGTAACAAGCTATGAAACAAGAGTATCTTTCCACAATATTTAAGCAAAAGTTGCAATAGTTTTCGTTTTCAGTGCACTTTTGTTAAAAAGATTACATTTTAAAAATTACAGGGACATCTATGCATTTATAAAGTATACTGTACTGGTTCACCATTATTTCAAAAAGGTACGCAGTATATGTTCTTGCTAAATTGATCCCAAATGTAAGATTGTTATATCATAATAGTAGAATAAGTTACCCTTAATACTTACAGTATAAATAATTTTTTAATTCTCCTGGTTGTTACCCCTTTATTCCCCAAACTTAAAATATTGTTCTCTTATAGGCTACTTATATTGTAAGTACAATATAGGTACACTATAATTACCGAAGGTTACGCTGTAAAATTGCTCTAATTACGCAGTACTTTCCGGGCTGTAATCTAAAGCGTTACCTAAGTGGTATTTATAAAAAGCAAACTTGACGGTAAAATGTGCGGTCCTTCACGCAAGCTCTGACCCAGGCGTACGCACAAAAACGGGTGAAATGAGAAATGGCGACACCGTCGGCAGATGGAAGAAACACGTGAAAGTGTGTGAAACTGTAGACCGTTGTGTAAAATAAATGGCAATACTGCCTCTCATAAATAACACGTTTGATCGATCTGCAACAGAAATGCAAATTAACACATATTTGCAAAAAGAAAAGTGAAATAGGCCTATGTTCTGCAATAATATTGGCATGTTATACAATTCATCCTCATAAATAAGATGGTAAACAGAACGAAATAATGTACAAAACTGATAGGCTATATTAGGACCACAATGTGTCCGTCAGGCGGAGCAGATATAGATGCAATTAGATAGATAGATAGATAGATAGATAGATAGATAGATAGATAGATAGATAGATAGATAGATAGATAGATAGATAGATAGATAGATAGATAGATAGATAATTTGTCCACTGGGGAAAGTTGTTTTCGTAGTAAAAATGTCTTCATCAGCTACGGAATCATGGAATTCATGCATATGCCTTTAGTTTGTTTTATTTTTGATAAAATAACGTATGACGTAGACATAGGCTATGTCTCAATCATTCAGAAAGCTGCAAGAAATTACATTTGCGCTGAACTATTTCCCATTTCCATGTAGATTATAACCGACATCTGTAGCTTGTCATTTCTTTTTTATTTCGGCCACAGTCCGAGGGTGTGAGGCTACTACAGCATACGGCGTCTGCAACCTTTTGCCACTCAAGTGCCTTTTTGGCATTAGTAGGCTAATGCCCACACTGTGCCCTCCAAACAACATTTTTCTCCTCTTTTCCACCTCGCCAACGATAACTTACTTCACATTGAGTGAAGTTACGTTGCTTTGATTTCCTCTCTATGTTTGCCATGATTTCGCAATCGATGAATATTAACTTATGGGCGTTTCACGGACTATTTATGGGCAACTATGGGCGTGACATGAAGCCGCAAAAGCTGCGCTACATTTAGAATTGATTGTGATTTATTAAGGGAAAAATGCGTAGGATGTGCGTGCGCATGGTTTTATAAATCCGAATATTTCTGTGCGTACGCACGTCCCATGTTTCATCCGTACGCCACTTCTGACGCAAATCCTACGCAAAGTTTTATAAATGAGGCCCCAGATAAAAGCCATACATGGAAGTCGAAGATCTCATCGGTGGTGTCTGGATGTCATCTAGTGGAAAATGTTGGTACTGCGCACAATGCAATCTTTCCTAATGCTCATTTGTTGAGACATCAACCTAAAATCTGGCCCAGAACTTGTCCAGATATTTAACAGATTTTCTTGAAGTTTTAGGGTTGAAAATGTTTTGTAATATATATATATATATATATATATATATATATATATATATATATATATATATATATATATATATATATATAAACAACATTATGTATTGTATAGGCTTTTCTTGAAGTTTTAGGGTTGAAAATGTTTTGTAATATATATATATATATATATATATATATATATATATATATATATATATATATATATATATAAACAACATTATGTATTGTATAGGCTACATTTAAAATGTTCATACACTTAAAATACTTTAACAACTTTGTTTTACTTTACTAATCTGAGAAGTGTACCCTTTTAGTACCCTGTTAGTTCGCAGTGCATTAAGTAATGTTAACAACAACTTTTGATTTTTAATAAATATTAGTAAAGGTTGAAATTAACATGTAGAAGTGCAGTTCATTATTAATTCATGTGAACTAATGTACTTAAATAATGTATGAAACCTTTTTGTAAAATGTTACCAAAATTACAATTGGAAACTAAAAATTTTAAAATTTGCCATCGATAATTCCTTGCTGTTTTGCTTGGGTTTAATGATAAGACAAGAGACCTAAACCACATAGGGACAAAGGCATAAGCGAAGAAAACAAGGGAGTTTTATTTGTATCTAAATTTTGATAAAAACTGCAATTTAAATATATTATTTCTATAAGTTCTACAAAAAAGGACAAAATAGATAGGCTGAATATCCTGATCTATGGCATGTTAAATGGTGGTAGTAGCCTAGCCCTAGTCTATGAACAGTAGCTAAATCCCCGGGCCGTTACATAGTCAACGCGAGCAAGCAACGCGAGCTACGCGAGCTACGCGCTCCTTTTCATAGTACACAAGCGTCACCGGCGATGCGTGAAATGCAATACACCGATCACGCAGCAGGGGGTAGTAGAGTCTACAGTCGGGTCACGTAATATTCAGATCAAAATGGCAACTGAAGAGGAGTGCATATTGCTGATTTTACATCGGCGGCAACAAAGGATGTATAAGAACAAGCTCGCATAACTTTTCCTCTTCGCCCGCCATTGTATTCAAATCTTCTTCTTCTGTAAACATAATAATATACCTTTTTATGTACATTACTTGCAATGTCGCCCCCACCGACAACGCATAGTATTGCGCGCATCGGCGCGTCGCGTATCAAAAACTAGGATGACACATTTGGCTACGCATCGACGCATAATGGCGGCAGAAGCGTAGCGATGTGTAGCCTTGCGCACGCGTATGCGTACCAATGCGTTGACTATGTAAGGGCCCTAAGCCCACAGAAATGGTTAAACCCAAGCCTTCAGCAGCCAATGACACTGACCCGTTCAAACTGATTATAACTCGTATTTCACGCGTCCTTTTCGCCTGGTTGGAAACTTCACACACGTTTTTACTGCCTGTTTGGTTTAACTGTTTACACGTCAACAGCGTGCGTTTTGTCCTAGTCAAAACACACGTTTTCGACGCCCATTTTTGTTACGATAAACGCGCATCAAAAGCGTGCGTTTTCGGTGACCCCCAAAGCGCACATCAAAAGCGTGCGTTTTGACAGCCAAACGCGCGTTCCTGACGCGCGCTTTGATGCAAAAACCGCGCGTTTCTGACGCGCGTTTTCCGTGTGCACAAGAACGCGTGCTTTTTATGGCAAAAACGCACGCTTTTGACGCGCGTTTGGCTGTCGAACGCGCGCTTCTGACGCGCGTTTGGCTGTCGAACGCACGCTTTTGACGTGTCAGTGTGCAATCAGACGCCCGACCAGGCGTTTGTGAACACTTTGGCTTGCCATTATGTATGGCGCTTACTCCGTGCCAAAATCAAACATTCGTATGGCGCTTACTCCGTGCCAAAATCAAACATTCGAACGACCGATCGAACGTCTATCCGAACGTCTTGTACTTTTGAGCGTCTGACCGAGCGGGTGACCCACGTGACGACCTGACGTGACGTCAACGTCTTGAAATTAGCAGTTTTTTAACCATGCAAGTATCCAAGCTAATGTGTAAAGACAAGAAATGGACATTAAAGGCAATACATATAAATATTGTACCCCTAAAACAACATTAAAACATTTCTCCTGAATCCTGTGCATGTGAGGCTATGTGTTTTACTTTCAAAGAGCAGAAATACTGTAGGCTAGCCTATATATACAGTTATTCAATAGTCTTAATTTCACCAATATAATCATTTTAACTAGTTTTTATTGTTCATTTTATTGCCCAATGTACAATGTTCTCACAGTCCATAAAAGAAAACACTCCAAATTAATAAATGTTGCCTTTCATTTAAAAAGAAGGTTTTCATAAATATATATTTATATATTTGGAAATATAGATAGACCTAGCCTATATAGAATATCCATTTACACACACACGCGCACACACACGCACGCACGCACGCAAGTCCAATACTGTCATGGTGCTCTTCCGTCACTTTTGACCAAAAATTTTCTGTTTTGAATTTTAAAATTCACAATTATACGCAAATGAACTGGTAGGGCTATTAC